TATTCACAATAATGCAGTCAGAGAAGTAGGGGTGTAAATATTTTTTAATCCAAGTTTGAATAATTTCATTTTTAGATATATACATTTTTAAACTAATAGCAATTCCCCATTTTCATGAACTTCTAGAGTTTCTTGTGAGTAGCTTATGCATTTCTCACTACTGCCAGGGATGTAGAGATCTGTAGAATGGATAGACATGTCCAACATGTCAGCTCCTTTGTGATCTTCAAACAGACCCGGCTGGGCTGTGACGCCTGTTCAGACTCGCCACCCTGCTGGGTAACAAATCCTCTTCCATTCTAAGTTTGATCCAGACAGTCCAACATGTCTTTGATGGGTATAAAGCTGTAACTTCTCCCTGGTCATTGTGATCTTATACAAAAACGTGTAATAAGAGAAATCCTCACCTATATGTGTATATATGTGTATTTATATATATATATATATATATATATATATATATATATATATATATATATATATATGTATATATATATATATATATATATATATATATATATATGTGTGTGTGTGTTTATGTATATATGTACACATACTTATCTTAGCAGTTAAACAAATTATAGATTATTGCCATATCGATGACTGACAAATGAATGCTACCCTGCAGTATTTGTTTTTTGGAATTAGCAGCTGGTATTTATTTTGGCCTGTGTTTGCAGCTAAATGTCACAGAAATTATAAGGAGAAAAACATTTTAAAGTAATCACTGTTAGAAGATGGAACTGCCTAATATACCAAACTACACTTACATAACTTCTTTGAAATATCACCATTGTTTAGGACAGAGTCTATACACAATTTGTCATGCTAATTTTTCATGGGGTAATGTATTCTTTTTTTGATCATCTGGAAGGTTAGCACTTTTTCTAAAGCTAACACCTAATAGCAGGAAGATGAGATGCAAAAAAGTCAAGAAAACCTTCAGGAAATTAAGGTTGGGAAAAAGTAAAAGAAGCATAAGGAAACAGCAGATTAATCACCACCAGAACAATCATCACAATAATCAAAAAATAAATATTGTGATATATGATGACAGAGAACATGAATCTAACTTTTATTTCAAGAAATGTTGTAAAACTGCCAAATAATAAAATCACTTTCCTTTTTCCCCTGCTCTTATGCCTTTAATAAATCAAAGTACTCTATGTGATGATATGTAAATGTACAGACACAAGCATGCTTTTGGACTAATCCGAGTGCAGCACATTAGCACCAGTGTTGATTTGAAATATGAAGATGATGGATGTGTAAGTGTGCAGGTTAGACATCTGTAGTAAACAGATTGGACTGCAATGGCTGATCAATGGGCTCTGTTCCACTGTAATTAGACACACAGAGCCACTGCTTGGCTCCAGCCACTTCAGCATAATCACAGCCACCTTCCAAACACACTTACACACAGACACACACACAGATGAAGAGTATAGGAGACAGGAAAAAAAATCCATCACTAAATGCATCCAGACGCAGCACAAGAGTGAGACATTTACTAAAGGAGGTATGAAAGTATGAGACAATACTGACGGCAGCAGGTGGAGGCCCCGCTGGGATGGCATCTTTCTCTCTCCGATTTGCTCTCTTTTAATTGAGACAGTGGGGAAGCTGAGTAGGATGCGCGGTCTGTTATGGAGGATTCGATCCTTGGTCAGCAGGGGAACATGTGGCTCTAAGGCGGAGCCGCAGCCATCCAACATTTCTACCTTCTACTTTCCACCTGTCTGCTGCTTTCCACACATCAAACACATAGAGTTAAAACTCTTACCCACATACAGCACAGAAATTAACTATTAATTTCTGCGTTTGCTGCACAAACCCCTTCACCCCACTGGACCCCCTCCCAAATGTGGGAGCTCACCGTTTTTCTTTTGAAAATTGCTCTGTGTATGGAAGGGAGCTCATAGTAGCCGGTGCAAGCACCTCTCAAGTGTTTGCGTTTGGGGAAAGAGAAGGAAAGGGGGGACGGGAGGGTTTATAAATACCCTCTCAGAGCTCTATAGAGTGGGCTCTAGTGGGCTCTGTTTGAAGTAACAGACTGTAGACCTGCTGGGGGGGATCTGACCTCAGTCCCTACAGAACCCCTCCCTCCCCAATTCCTACAGCAAGTCGGTCAATATCTTGCTTTCTCCTTCACATGAACACCCCGCCTTCCTCTTCTTGGCTCCCATCTTTGGTTCTTACACTCACACACACACACACACACACACACCTACCCCCCCCCCCCCCACACACACACACACACACTGTGTCTTACCCGTTCATCTTTTATTTTCATTTCTCTATTCTTTCGATGTCTCCTCTGTCTCTCATTTACAACACTCGCACACACATACACACTGAAACACAAAATGCTTACTTTTGTGCATCAGTCATTCAGTCCCCCATTGCGACTCAAACTGCATTAATATTGAATCAAACAGCAGTGTCTCCAGCTAGCTGGCAACAGCCAGTCCCACTGCCCTGCCCTCCCCACCCAATCTTTCTCTCACCGCAGGCTGGCTCCCTGTCTGCACTACACAGGATGGAAGGAATATTCCCACTGGGAAGGACGCATGGATTAGCTTTAAATCAACTTTAATATGGCAATAGAGATGGAGCTGTAGCCTTGCTGCTGCTGTTTAAACAGGTTTTATGTGTCTAAATACTAGTTAATACAGTTCCTTACAAAAATACTCATGCCACGAACACTTTTTTTACATCCTGTCATGCTAAATCAAGAAACTTAAATTTGTCTAATTAATACTGGATATGGCAGAGAAACCCAAACTTGTTAATAATCTTGAAGCAGTTGTAAGATTTCACTTCAGTTTGATACCCCAATTGCAAAATTTAAACAATGTGTAAATAGAGTCAAACGATGTATAATATGTTCTCAGTATAAATGAGGTTGTTCTGGGAAGGCCCTGGAGGTTTGTTAAATAAGATTGGTAAACACATCTTGTGAGAAAGGCCAAGGGAAATGGCAGACCTCTGTGGGATGGAGGTTTGAAGGAGTTTAGGGCACATTTGGGTAATAAAACAACACTTAAAGAGTTAAATGATTCACAGAACTATTCAGCCCCTCATCTAAAAATGGTGAGAGTGTAGCGTGATCGAGATGGGGCAAGCCTTTGATAGGGAGCAGGATGTAAAAGAAATGTATGTTTAAAATGTGTAAAAGGCCAAGTAGGGGAAAATAAAATGAAGAGGGTTGAAGAGGGTTCTCTATTCCAAGGAAAACAAGTAGGAAGTGTTCGGTCAGCAGGTAAAAACAAAACATGTTAAGGTAAGCTAACATACTCACCATGAAACATGGTGGTGGCAGTATTATGGTGTGGGGATGTTTTTCTCCAGCAGGGAAAAGGAAGGTAGTCAGAGTTGATGGGAAATATAGATAGCCAACAAATATGGTAGTCGCTGGAAAAGATTTAAGACTGTATAGATTATTATCTTTAAGTAAAGGATGAACCTGAATACACAACTACAGTTACAATGAAAGGTCACCAACTCCGCTCTTGGATGCCCTAGGCGTTTCCAAGCCAAATGATAGATATAGTCCCTTCATCGTGTCCTAGGTGGTTTCCTGGGCCTCTTCCCAGTGGGACATGCCTGGAACACCTATAGAGGGAAGCACCCAAGGGGCATCTGAAAACGATGCTTGAGCCACTTCAGCTTACTTCTCTTAATGGGGAGGAGATGTGGCTCTACTCCAATCCTCTCCCAAATAGGCGATCTCTTCACTCAGTTGTGTTCCTGCTCTCACCTATGGTCATGAATTCTGGAGAGACAAACTGGTTAATAAGGATTTGAATTTTGGCTGAGCTCTCTCTACACCATAACAGACCGGTGCAGCGTCCTGATTATAGCAGCAGCCGTACAGTTCCATCTATCGATCTACCGCTCCATTCTCTCCTCACTCCTGAACAGGACCCCAGAAGTCCTCCACTTGAGGCAGGAACCCTCCTCCAACTTGAAGGAGGCGACCCATCCTTTTCTGGATATAAACCATGGCATTAGACTTGGAGGAGTTGATCCTTACCCCAGCTGGTATGCACTTGGATGCAAACTGTCTAAGGTCTTAGCAGCTGGGAGCCAGGATAACCAAGTCATCTGCAAAAAGTAGACACTTTGGTTCCCAAACCAGACCCCCTCGTTCTTGGCTACACCTAGAGGCCTTGTACATCAAGTTTTTCAATGGGACAAGTGACAGAGGGCACAGAGTCCAACATACACAGACTTAATGCCGGCTATGTGGAGCAAACTCCTGCTCCACTTGTACAGAGACCAGATGGACCCTTGTAAAGGGGCCCTTGACCCAGCACTCCTGGAGTCATCCCCACAGGGCACCACAAAGGCAAAACATTCTATCTCCCAACTTGTCCATTGTATTGACAAAGCCAACAGTCAAAGGCCTTTTCCAGGTTCAGAAATCACATGTGGACCAATTGAGCAAACTCCCCTAGATCCTCAAACACTCTCATGACGGTGTAGAGGTGGTCCGTTGTCCTGCAGCTGGGTCAAAAACCAAACTTCTCCTCCTAAAGCCAAGGTTCAGCAATCAGACAGACACTCCTCTCCATCAACCTGGTAAAGGCCTTCCTGCAGAGGCTGAGAAGTGTGATCCGTCTGTAGCTAGAACGCACCTTCCTATAAGCAAACACACACAAGAAATGCACATAAGTTCTTCATATTTGCTTTGGTTAGAAATGTAGAAAAATCAAGTTTTCATTTTTTTCCACTTCACTATCATGTTTGATTATGAGTTGGTCAATCAGTGAAAACATTAAATATTGTGGTGGTGGCATGAAAAAAGGTTAAAAAGTTTAGTATTGTATATTAATACATTTGCAAGGATTTACTTTTTAATTATCCTCTGAGGTCTCTTTTTGTTTTTCTTAATCAATTCTGTGTATTTACCTTATTTTTTTCTTTGTTTATTTCCTTATCTTCTCGGCTTTCCTGCTCTCATCGACATCCCTCCCACCGCTGCCACCCAAACCAAGCCTGCAAGCGCAAAGAACAGGAGCAACACAAGGACCGCAACACAGCGCCTAAAAAACAGCGTCTAGTCTTCACGGACCTGCAGCGTCGCACACTCATCGCCATCTTTAAGGAAAACAAACGCCCGTCCAAGGAAATGCAGATCACCATCTCCCAGCAGCTTGGCCTGGAACTCAGCACCGTCAGCAACTTCTTCATGAATGCTCGCCGCCGGTGCGTGGATCGCTGGCACGACGACCATGGGGCCAGCCCCGGGCAGCCGGGAACCTCCACCACCACTTTCTCCAAGGCCTGAGAGATGAAGGAGGAGGCCTTCAAGAGTGCTGGGTAGCCAGGTTTGGAGCAGCAGGCGTCACAAGGAGGTGGCTGTGAAACCTGTCTCTGATGACCCTACCTGGCCTGGACTGCCTGAAAAAAAAAACCTTCGTGCCATGCAATCATCATTCTTGTCAGTCAAAATCTCAAACTCTCACTTGAAAGAAGTAGAATTTAAGAGGTGAGGTGTGAAGTCAGGTTCACTCTGCTTTACTCACACAAGGACAATCATTGATTTAGTCTTTTTTGTGTTTTGTTTTTAAAAATCTTTTTAAAAACATCTGACAAAGCAAAGAGACACCAAAGATTTGATCATTTTCTTGGACGGTTTTTACATTTTGCCAGCCTCCTCCTTAGCCACCCTACCAACAACCCTTAACTCACCTCCTTTGTGTCTGCCTCCTTTGTCATGTCCTCTCTATGGAAGCAACAAGGGCAAAAGAGCGGCAATAAATCTGACGAGACAACAGCACATAGCCTTATTATCAGTGCCCCATCCTGCACATTCACACATGTAGAGAGAGGGAAGGCGTCGTCAAGAAAATTGTGCAGCTTGTGAAAAAACAAGAAGGTTTTTGAATTTGCTGCCTCCACCTCCACTCCCTTTTCCCCCTGTAGTCTCCTTCATTTATCAGCCAAAGGTATTCCCTGATGACCAGCCATTTCAGAGAGCAGCTCAGGCTGATCATACAGCAAACTAATGAATTGAAAAATGAATCGATGCAGATGGAGAAAGTGGCTCCTTGACCCCCACCCCCCCTTTCTGCCTTGTGAAGGTGAAATTCAAGATTCTCAGCAGGAGATCTCAACCTCTTCCAGGCCCAGGTTATATTTTTGCACAGATGTCAAAGGGCCTGCAGGGAGAGATGTCATTGTTACTCCTAGCCTGAGCCCACAGAGTCTGAGTTTCCCTGACCAAATGGAGGGGCCGGCAAGATGTCTGGACATGCTCTTTGTTCTGCTGGGAGCCTGAATCAATAGCTGGGAACCGAACGATGACAACAACACGCTCGGGCATCCAGCCAAACTACATTACAGCTGCGTATAAAAAAAAAAAAGCAGAGGAGCACACAGAAGACAACACAAAGGCCTCCACAGCAGCAAGCAACAAACCAACAGCACACCACTCTGTCCTGGTCCTGTCCACACTGGCAGAGCAACAGTGCCCCCTGCTGTTGTCAATAGAGACCTGTAAACAGCAGAATAAAATACAAAAAAAGGGAGGGGGTGTTGGGATAGGTGGGAGATTTCAAAAATGCTGCACTAGATGCTGAGGAGAAGTCACGGCACAACACATTCAGGGCCTCACAGCTCTTTGAAGGGGGATCAATACTTTACCATTATCCTATTGTTGTTCCTCATCCAACCAGCGCTGGAGGAGGGGGGTGGTTGAGACGAATGATGAAAATAACGCAGGGATTTAGCAAAGGCAGGGAATTACTGTATGTAGGCAGGAATTAACAAATCAAAAAATACTACTGAAAAAGCAGAGAGAAGTGCATCAGGGGGAAACAGAAAGGCGAGACAGACTCAGTGGAGGTTTAAATTTAAGCGTTTCTTGTTTGGAGGCTTTATATTTTGCATTCATTTTTTTCGGTCTGCAAAAAAACTCTGAAAATAATAATTTATTGCAAACCTTACGGTTATGGAACAGTAGCTAACCCAAAGCAAAACCAACACACCCACAGCAACAAACAGTGCCAATGCTTACTGCCTTAATGTGAGAATACGGTACTAAGGTCCACACACTCCACAGTGCACCTCACTGATGACAGGCAGTGTGTGCCATAGCAACAATCAGCATTCAACTTAATTCAAATATACTTGTTTTTTAGTAAAAGAAAATAGAAAAAAAAAGAACCTGAAACAACTAAAGCAGGAAAAAAAATGATTCAAACACAAAACTGGACAAATTTTCACACAAAATCTTTGGTTCTCTACCTCCTTTTTCGCCCTTCCAATCTAACCCCATTGGCCCTCGCCCTTTCTCTCTCCCTCCCTATATTGATGCGGGTATTTAATTAGTACCATAGACACAAAGTTTCTATTTCTTGTTACTATTGTGCTCTGTTGTGCATATGGAAGGCACCTTGTTGATAATTAAAAAAAACAAAACAAAGAACCAAAAAAGGAAGGACTTCTTCAATGGAAAAAAAGGGGGACACAAGGACTTGGTCTGCTGAAGGATATATTTTTTTGCAGACTTAAAGGAGACATTTCCAGGAAGAAGAGGACAAGAGAGAAAACAGGGAGCTGCAGGAAAGAAAAAGAAGAAATGATGGACGCTTCATCCTTTCTGGCGTTTCATGTCAGGACTGTGCTTCTCTCTAGAAGAGGGACATAATTTGACCTCAGAACGTCCTGGCTTACTTGGTTTCCTCTGTCAGAGGAGGACGGCTTTGAGGTTTTAATAGTCATCTGTGTGGTCTTAAGATGCAACTGTAGCATTTCCAACAATGTAGTCAGATTAGCGGTGCAGATTAGACAACAAATGGTCACTACAGAGAAGTTGATGGAGGGGCACTGACTAATGTCATACTGCTGTAAGCAGTGAGTCAACGTCGCCAAAGGAAGATGAGCTAAAATCGACTAGTACAATTAAGTAAGCATAGGTAGATAGATAGACTCAGCTCTCTAGTTATGAAGCTGACAAAATGACATTTGTTTGTAGTGAGAACCAGTGTGGCTACCTCACTAAGCTGAGTGGTTTGTGAAACCGCCACTAATACCAAAGATACTGCAGCCTACCAGTCGCAAACTGCCTAGGGGGACCCAACCCAAATTATTAAACAACACAAACACTCCCCCCCTCCTTTATTCTCCTCAAAATTTCTCATACTGATTAATATCAAAGACGCACATTACATTTGTTTCAGACAGTGCAGTCAGACTGCATCGTGCCACTTAGGAGGAGGTGGTTGCCTTGCAGAAAGAGTTGAGTGCCTTTTCCCTTCAACCACGGGTGGGACTGCACTGGTCACACACATACACACACACATAAAACATGTGCAGTCACAAAGATGCATGCACGCATTCTCACAAACATGCACTCACACAGACAATGCACCCATAATTGGATTGACAGAGGCGAGGGGTGGGGGGGGGTACAAAGAGAGGGACACAGAATGGGGGCTGTGTCAGCATTTTCTCTCATATTGACTTTCCATCTTGATACACTAGAATACAAGCACTTTATCACGTAGAAAGTCTATAAAACATTTTCTCTACACCATTTATTTCAAACAAACCTATGTGTTACTCCTAAATCTTTCAGTCTTTGTAACTGTATTGTTAATCATCTCGCCAGGCTTTCTTAATTTGTTTTTCCTTTCCTTTGCCTGACGTGCTTTCACTCTCAGCTGTTTTTGGCTTTCTCACATCAGAGATATTTTTGTGTAACAGAGAAAGAGGAAGCATAAAAAAGGCTGTTGGGTTTAAGCACTCGGAGCATCTGCTATTTTAAAAAGAAAAACAAGTCCATTGCGTGCAAGCACAGAGGCTGCACTAAAAAAGTGTGGAAGACTCAAACTCTCCTCCCTCCACCTCTCCTGCCCAGACAATATTTCCCCCTGGCTAGTGCCAAGACTTGGTAGGCTTGTGTTTGACAATTAATTCTGAAATACCTCAAAAACCTTTCATGTAAACTTTATGTAATTTAAAACTGAAAATAATACTGCTAATGATAACGATGATTATGAAACTATGATACTTATGATAGTTAGTTTTGGAACTTGTGACTTGAAGCTTTATACTGTTAAAAATTCCTTTTATCCGTTTGCTTATTTTTCTTGTACGTTCCCTCGGTTTGTTTTTTGCTACGGCATGTACTTACTGTTTTCTTAAAAGGAAAAGACATTGTGAATGTTTCTGTGGAGGACAAGCTGAGAAAAAGAAAAGACAAAGGCTAAGGCCAGGATAGAGAGAGAAAGAGGGTTATTTACTAAAAAGGGCTTGCAATTGTATTCACACCCCTCAAAATGTTCACATGGGACATTGCAACCACAAACTTCAATGCAGTTAAAGTGGAAGCTTATGTCATAGAGAAAAACTTCTTCTGAATCAATAGTTCTTATTCTTCACTCCTTTGTAGGCTGAACATTTCCCTCATTAATCTTTACAAACTAACGTTCTGTTAGCTTGAATTAAGATTGTCCATGGAAACCAGTCACATTTGGCCACAGATTCTTAGTTTTGTCAAGATCTTGACTATGGCCAGGCCATTCTTGCATATAATTATAGTTTAACCCAAAGTTTTGCATAACAGCGCTAGCTTCATATTAAGGTGTTTACATGGAGGAAGGCAAACCTCTCCATCAGTCTAACATATTCTGCAGCCCTATAATGTTTTTTTTTCAAGGAGTGTCAAAAGGTTCAGCTTTTTTTATTAATCCTCTGTTTGCCTGGATTATCAGTTAATTCAAAGGCTATGTCATGGCAGGTCAGCAACAGCGGTATATTTTTTTCAAATTTTTTTTAGACGATGGATTGAAAAAAAAAAGTTCTGTTCCATTGATTTATAATGTAATCTTCCTTCAAGTTAGAATATCCAAGACCAATCTGTTGTGTTCCTTGAATTTTTTAGGAAGCAGCGGAAGCAGTTTACTTATGTTTCTAACAAACCTTTTGCAGCCTTCAAATAATAACTGATTTTATGCACAAAAAAATAAAAAATAATAATAATATATATAGACAATATTTAACTGTGGTACTTGGACTTTATTTAGGGTTGTTGGAAAAAATGGGGCTGAATACATCCACTAAATTTTTAAGATCTTATTGTAATATTACTTCTCAGTCATGTGCTACATATAATAACATAAAATCCCAACAAAACACATTAAGGTCTGGGGTTGTATGTGGCAAAATGTGAATAAATCCAAGAGGTGTGAATACTTTTGCAGGGAACTAGTTTTAAGCTCTCTCACAGGAAGCTACATTCAAAGAAAACAAAATAAACAAAAAAACACACAATTTGAACTAAATCATAACCCAAAATTTGATGTGATAAACCAAAGGAGGAATAACCTTGCATTCATTGTTAGCTTTCTTCTGCCTTTTAGTTGTCTTTTCTCTGAGGAAAAAAAGAAATACATAAAAAAAGAAAAAAAAAATAGACAAAACTGTTACTTTTAAAGGTTCCTGGGTGTGTTCAAGTGCTCCTGATGTTCTTAGATAATTAAAGACCAGCACCTACTGTTGAGAAGAAGGTGCACTTTTTCCTTTTCTTTTGTGCATGGATATTGTATAACTGTATAGAAACCAACAGGAATGACCTGTGATTTTGTGGGGAGAGGAAAGGGATAGACAGATTAGGGAGTGGGTGGAAATGGGGGTGGGGGAATATTTTGGTTATCAAAATAAATGCGAGAAAAAAAAATAAGGGTGGGAGGTATTTGGGTTTTAGGCGTTGGAGGGGTTGTTGTTTTTAGATTTTCTGTCACTGTTGGATTCACTGGTTGTGTGCATGTGTTGTTGCAACCCTTCCCCCCTTCCCCCAATGTTTCTTTGATGTATATAAATCCAGACAGTAGGGGGCAGTGTGTGCTGGGGGAGGTCAAATTTGTCTCCTCCCTAATCAATAGCATTCAATCTTCATTCCTCAGCTCGTGTTCCACACTTGGGTCTCGGAACGTGTGTCTTGCTTTTCCAAAGACTGGCTGTTTACTTGGAGTTAATCAGAGGGACACACACCGATCCGAGCGGCCTTGAATATGCCTGTATGTTTGTCTACATGCTTTTTCTTCAACATGTGTATATGTGTTCATTTGTACCTATGTGGAAAACAGTGTTTTTTTTCTATTTTATGTTTCATTGCTATGGGTTGCAATATTTGTCATGCAAAAATCTAAAACCATTTCTTGCCGATTGACTGACCAACCAACAGCGGTACCATGGCAAACCAGTGTCCGCCCTGAAACGTTTCCCACATTTGCTGTCAAACAGCATTTGCTTCGGGCAACGTCTCACAGCCGAACTCTATGGTTTGTCCAGGCTGGACCGATGTAGAGACACCCCCAGTCACACTGTGCTCTCCCTCTTCTGTTACCTGTTAATCAATCAGAACCAAGTGTCTTTGTGATGGTAGAAGACAATCAGTTTCAAAACAAGAAAAAAGGTAGAGAGAGGGCAGGCCAGTGGGGAGGAGGAAGGGGAGGATAAAAGTGTAAAAATCATGGGAGAAGAGGCTCTCTGGATCTAAATGAGCTGCAGTGTGCAACTGCCAAACGACTCACCCCAATACCCCCAACCCCCTCCAGCTTGCTCAAATACATTCATTATTCACCCCATCATTGGCTAAAATCTCTCTTTTTGCCCTCTCTTACTGTTAACTCTGCCTCATCTCCTGCCTCAAAACCAGAGAGCTTTGGTGCAAAGACCATGCTTCCCATCACCCACTGTCTGCTGATCTAATGATGATGTAGCCAGCCGCGAGGAAATAAAAATGGCTCCGGTTGGTGGCTTTTGCACAGAGAACTATGCAAACACCTGACCCTCCCCAATCTTAATCGTTGCTGCTGGGTCAGAGTGTATAACCCTCAACCCCCAGCCCCCCCACTCCACATTTTAACTCTCACACTTGGACCCTTCTCTACCTCTTTTCGCCCCGCCAGTCTTACGAGGGTGAAGCAGCACCAGTCGCTTGGTTCATTCTTGCTCTGAGCGGCCGGGGATAGAGTGGCACTGCAGCACCCAGTATTTTCACCACAAAAGCCCAAACTGCCACTGACGCCAAAATGTAGCCCAAGCCGATGTTTGCAAGTTGACCCCTACTCCCACCTCTCCTTACAACCCTCCTGCCCCATTCCACTGATCATGGCTCCACTGTCCCACAATGTTTGACTGTCTTTGTCCCTAGCGCCAAGGAAGGGCCACAATCAATGCAAAGACGCTTAACATTGTTCTTACTCAAGTTTACAAAGTCGTCTGGAGACGGTGGATCGTATTGCACTCAGATGGACTTACAGGTAGACAAACAGACACAGGCACATGCTGAGGAGGGTGACTCTGCCCCTTTGACAATATTTGTTTCCTTATTTTTCTGAAACCAAAGATAAAATCAGAGGTACGACAATCTGGCTGCCAAAACCTGGAAGACAATATATGGCTTTCCAGGCTGTTCTATATGGTTCCTGTGATTTATTCGGCCATGTGGACATTCCATGTCTTGCACTTAAACGCACACAGATACACACACATTTCCTGATTCAAACCTTCACACAGATGCAGACACGTATCCGTCCAGGTAGAAATGGGGAAGCAACCTGCTCACATCTGATCAGAAAGCCTCTCTCCCACCCTCCTCCCACTGCAGAAGCCGGAGAGCCTGTGGAGGACTTTTAGTTTCACTCTAGTTGAGACTCTCGAGAAGGTAAAAAACCTGAGTAATAACTGTTACAGAAAAATAAAAAATCTTAAAAGGATAATATGGGTAAATTGCGTGTTTTGAAATAAATTAACAAATAAAACAATTGTAAAACAAAGTGGGCCTGTCGATTTCTTTCGTGTGAATTAATTCAAAGGCAGGTTACGGTATTACATTTTCAAGTATATTCTTTATTAGTAAAATAGGGCTATGCAAACATTAAAATCCTAGAGACTCAGAGATCATATAGAAAATACATGAACAACTCATTGTGTCCACATTTTATGATCAAGACTTTGAAGCAATAATTATGAACTCATGAAGGAACAATAAAACCATGTGGGTTAATTTAGCATTAAATAACCGTAAGAACTGCTTTTTATTCTTTCCTGCTTTCTCTCCATACCCCAAACTAGTTTGATGTTTGCAAGAATAACTGTATTTTTTCATTCTGTATTATTAGAAAATCTTTTATTATATTCTATTGTCATTTAATCTGATTTGGATCCCTGGATTGGCCCATTCATTATGGTAAAATACGACTATGATTAAGACTCTGAAGAAACCATAAATAAAGACTATTTCAAATCAACAGTTTATTTGCTCCTAGCATAGTTCCCACAGTGGGTACAAATAGATGCATAGTCAGTATAGGATTTTCATTTCATTGCACAATTCCTAAAAAAACAAAAACAAAAAAAACAATCAACTGAACTTTGTTTCTGTACTGTTACTGTAGCAGTCAGATACAAATCATGCAGCACATGTCAATGTAGCATCACCAAGTCTATTCAAAATTCAGCATTTTCTAATCAAAACCTTCCCCTGGGTTTATTAGGCAGAAACAATGACCCTCCTGCCAACTTTGTGGGGCACCATATACGGTAGCCCTTAAGATTTCTTGGTCTCAGGAAACAGCTATCTGGGCTCTATCTGCCTAAAAAAGCCAAATAAAGCACTTTGCCAAAGTAGACTGTAGACTGCTTGTTCTTAGATGCCCTTAAATATCAGATGGCTTTTTACTGATATTCACCTTCTCATCTTTTAACGTCTCTGTATTTCGAATGGAAGTTGCGGATTTAATGAGGCGCCCAGGCCCGGCACCCTGGGAAATGGCATATGATGACCGGCGGAGTGATGACCCTCTACTGAACTTTGACCTTAACTCCACTGGAGGAGGGGATGAGCTGTGTATCTGCAAGAAACACACATCAGGGATAAATATAAACATGAAAATAAATGGATGGAGTTTCAAACTTTCATATTTTTTCTGTATTTTCAAACAAGTATTTAGTTTCAAGCAAAAAGCTGGTAATTAAACATGATAGCTACAAACAGCAACTTAACAAAATATGTGAAGATTGTCATTTAAAATAGATATGAACGTTTAAACAAATAGCTATTTAGGAATACACATTTTCACGTTTTTATGATGGTGAGTATGATTTGTTTTACCAGATTGTATGTATAGGATATTGAAATAAAAAATGTGCACTGTCCCGCACACACTTCAGTGAATCTAAATCAAATTTGAAAGTGCAAAACTCAGCTACATTTTAAAATACAACATCCTTCTTTTGCAGAGCCACACGACTTCAGTCGTGGTAATTTTTCAACACATTCCAAAGTTTTAAGTAATTTTCAAAACATTAATTGCCAAAAGAATAACAATATTTTTGGGACATGCCTCTTTAAAATCCTTGTAAGAGTGGAATAGCCAGCCTTTCTGACATTTTAAATCAACATTAAAGACCACATATCAATTAATGGTAGGAATTAAACTAAAATGGTTGGTGGCATGGCTGTAAGGAGGCAACACAGAAAAGTAAAAAAAAAAAACAAACAAAAAAGAAAAATAAACAAAACAGATGACAGAGGCAGAGTTTTTTATACTCACTGAAAAGGTAGTGGGGAATTACTTTCATGGTTTCTAATGTTGAAAAATTGCCTCAATAGATAACTTCTGACTCTGAGTCAGCAGCCACTGGAGAGACTGTGTGTGTTTTTGAGCACAAACTTTCTCACTAAAGAAAATGTATTTTACTGAAGTTTTAACATTTATGTATATCCTTTAGTAAAAAAAAAAAGATTTCTGACATGTAATGTTAAATTTAATTAATTAATAACTAGTCTTACCAGATATTAACCTCAGTAATTAGTTGCATGAAAAACTTCATTTATCTTATTCCCAGTATTGTGATTTCCATTCTAACAACTCGAGGTTTCGGATTAATTTTAATGGCTTTGTCCTTAGCTTAAGGTTTTGATACCTAAAATGCTCAAATTAAGGGTTTTGCCCAATGTGTACAAAAAGGAAATATTCATAAAAAAAACTAAACAAAACGTTTAGCTGTTTTCCTTTACAGGCAGATTTTACAAAACCATTGAACAGCTTGCTAATAAAAAGAAACAAAACTGTGGACATCGGTGTGTAACAGAAAGACAATGATCGCGAGAGGAAAACATCAACTTGATGATTTCTGCCCTAATTTATTTTTTCCAACTACAATTGTTTTAATTACTGTGAGAAAATACAGGCAGGCTGGGCTCGCAACCAAACACTTTAAAACTGTTGATTAGAAAACTCCAAACCACGGTATGAACTTACATCTTAGTTTAACATTTAAAGGTATAGTGGATCATCAAAATAAGTGGTCCTCCTAATTGTCAGTCATTCTGTTGATATGTTTACGTAAGGCCGTCCTAAGTGCTCGTCCCCGTTTTCACTTATCATTGG